TAGCATAGTGCCTAAGGAATTTGACTGCTAACTAGAAGACTGGCAGTTCAAACCCACCAGCCACTCCTCAGAAGGAAGGTTGGGCAATCTATTTGCATAGTTATACCACCTTGGAAATCCAAGGAGGGGTCGCTACAAGTCTGATCCGACTCGACGGCAGTGAGTTTGGTTTGGTTTCCATTTTCACTGGCCCTCTACATTACCAAGTGTGACATCCCTCTGCAAGGACTGGTCCCTTCTGAAAACATGGCAAAAGTAGAGGAGACGAAGTCTGGCCATTCTTGCTTTTAAGGAGCATTCTGCTGGCATGTCTTCCAAAATAGATTTTTTTGTTCTTCTAGATAGATTTGTTTGGCAGTCCATGGTATTTTCAATATTCTTCACCAACATCAAAATTCAAATACATCAGTTTTTCTGTGGTCTTTCTTATTCATTGTCTGGCTTTCATGTACATATGAGGCTGTTGAAAATACCATGGCTTGGGTCAGGTGCACCTTAGTCTTCAAAGTGACATCTTTGCTCTGTAACATTTTAAAGAGGTCTTTGGCAACAGATTTATCTAGTGCAAGACATCATTTGATTTCTTGATTGCTGCTTCTGTGGATATTGATTTTGAATCCAAGTAAAATGAAATCTTTGATGACTTCAAACTTTTCTCTATTTATCATGATGGTGCTTGTTGGCCAGTTGTGAGGATTTTTTGGGGGGTTCATGTTGAGGTGTAATCCATACTGTAGACTGTATAGTCTTTAATCTTCATCAGTAAGTGCTTCAAGTCATCTTCACTTTCAACAAGCTTATAGTCCATCTTCTCAGATTACTTGCTCAACATACAGATTGAATAAGTATGGTGAAAGGATACACCCTGAAACACACGTTTCCTAATTTTAAACCATACAGTATACCCTTGTTCTGTTTGAACAGCAGCCTCCTGGTCTATGTATAGGTTTCTCATGAGCACAATTAAGTGTTCTGGAATTCCCATTCTTCTCAATGTTATCCACTGACATGGATATGATCCACACAGTTGAATGCCTTTGCATAGTCAATAAAACATCTTTCTGGTATTCTTTGCTTTCAGCTAAGATCCATCTCATACCAGCAGTGATATCCCTTGTTCCATGTCCTCATCTGAATCTGGCTTGAATTTCTGGCAGTTCCCTATCAATGTACTGCTGCAACCATTCTTGAATTATCTTTGGCATAATTTTACTTGGATGTGATGTTAATGACATTGTTTGATAATTTCCTCATTTTGTTAGATCACCTTTTTTTGGAATAGGCATGAATATGAATCCCTTTCAGTCAGTTGGCCAGTTAGCTGTCTTCCAAATTTGTTGGCATAAACAAGTGAGTACCTCCAAGGGCTACATCCATTTGTTGAGACATCTCAATGGTTAGCCTGTCAATTCCTCGAGGCTTGTTTCATGCCAGTGTTTTCAATGCAGCTTAGACTTCTTCCCTCAATTACATTAATTCTTGATCACATGCTGCCTCCTGAAATAGGTGAACATTGACCAGATCTTTTTGGTAAAGTGAATCTGTATTCTTCTCATCTTCTTTTGATGCTTTTTGCATTGTTCAATATTTTGCCCATAAAATCCTTCAGTATGCAACTCAAGGCTTGAATTTTTTCTTCAGTTCTTTCCATTTGAGAAATGCTAAGCATGTTCTTTCCCTTTGATTTTCTAACTCTAGGTCTTTGCACATTTCATTATAGTATTTTACTTTGTCTTCTTGAGCTACCTTTTAAAATCTTCTGTTCAGATCTTTTACTTCATCATTTCTTCTTTGAGCTTTAAAAAAACAAATGCAATCATTGCCATGGAGTTGGATCTGACTCATAGCGACCCCTCCATGGGTGGACGAGGCAGCATCACTACAGAAGTAGATTGCCCCACCTTCCTTCTGGGGAGTGGCTGGCGAGTTTGAACCGCTAGCCTTCTGGTTAGCAGTCATGTGCCTTAGGCACTATGCTACCAGAGCTCCTGCTGCTCTCAATTCAAGAGTAAGTTTCAGAGTCTCTTCTGACATTCATTTTGGTCTTTTTTTTTCCTTTCCTGTCTTTTTAGATTGTCTCTCAGTTCAAGGGGAATATACTAAAGGTCATATTTTGGCTGTGGACTTGTTTTAATTTGCTTCAGCTTCAACTTAAACTTGCAAATGAGCAATTGATAGTCTGTTCCACAGCTGGTCCTTGGCCTTGTTCTGACTGCTAATATGGAGCTTTTCCATCATCTCTTTCCACAGATGTGGTCAGTTTTATACCTGTGTATTCCATCTGGCAAGGATCTTGTATATGGTCACCATTTATGTTGTTGAAAGAGGTATTTGCAATGTATAACTCGTTGGTCTTGCAAAATTCTGTCATGTGATATCCGGCATCATTTTTATTAGCAAAGGCATATTTTCCAGTTGCCCATCCTTCTTTGTTTCCAACTTTCACATTGTAATCACTAGTAATTATCAGCATGTCTTGATTGCATGTTTGGTAAATTTCAGACTGCAGAAGTTGATAAAAATTTTCATTTTCTTTATATTGGCATTAATGGTTGGTACATAAATTTGATTGATAGTAGTATTAACTGGTCTTGCTTGTAGGTATATGGATATTTTCCTATCACTGACAGCATTGTACTTCAGGATAGATCGTGAAATGTTCTTTTTGATGGTAAATGTGACACCATTCCTCTTCAATTTGTCATCCCAGGCATAGTAGACCATATGATTGTGTGATTCAAAATGGCCAAAACCAGTCCATTTCAGCTCAATAAATCTATACACATCATTAAGGTCGCTTCTACTTTGAGAAGGCAATAACAATTTGAGTGCCTTCCAACCTGAGGGGTTTATCTTCTGACACCATAGTTGACAGTGTTCTGATGCTATTCTTAGGTTTTTAGTGGCCGGTTCTTTCAATAGTGGGCCTGACTACATCCTTCTTCCTAGTCTGTCTTTATCTTAGTCTGAAAGTTCAATTGAAACCTCCACCATGGGTGACCCAGCTGGTATTTGAAATACTGGTGGCATAGCTTCCAGCATCACAGCAATGTATAAGCCATCACAGTATGACAAACTGGCAGATGAATGGTGGTATATATGTATAGAGATATGTATATGTATGTGTGTGTTTGTGTGTGTGTATTTGTTGTTGTTATGTGCTGTCAAATAGTCTCTGATCATAGCAACTCCTCTTTGAGTTTCTGAGACAGTAT